ACTTATAAGCTGCCCCAAACGGACCCTAAATATACTTTAGAGATATGCAAAGGAGGGCAAGGAATGCACCACTAAAATCTTCCTATAAATGGGCCTTTACATACATACGACACAATTCCAATGTATTTACATATTTAACACCTAAATTTTACTTTTTTTACATTTATACTTCCCAAATCTTTCACATCACATCAAAAATACAAATATTTTAACTTTTAAAAAATGAAATACACTTTTTCATGCATATGTAAGGTGGTATCTATGTAAAAATTGAAGTTTAGGTGTTAAATATGTAAATACATAGAAATTACGTGGTATATACATAAATCTTCCATTTAAAAATAATGGAAATCAGCAAGAGAGGGTGCAGTGTGAAAGAAAAATAAAAAAATAAGAAAGAGTTAAGGAGAAGAAAGAAAAAGCCAAAACTTATGTGCAAAATAGAGTCAGTACTTTATGCAACACTCAAAAAGAAATGAATAGAGCGTAACAATTCATTGAGCTGGCCCTAAAAAAGCTTGGTAAGTCTAATGATGATCATGATGATGACGAAAGCATCAATTGAGATAAAAAAATGCAAATAAAAAGCACGCATTGTGTTATAAATGATTTAAGAGAAACTTAGTATGATCCAACCAAAAAGCAGGAAAATATTATTATAATAGTTTCCACAATCTAAAGAATAAAATTTCCAATAGCCTAATCAGTATTTACAACTGATGGCTCTAGAAATTGCCTAACAGACCTTGAATGGTATGTAGCTGAGTCCACGGATGCGCACATTTTGTTCTTCAAAGCTGATAACCTTGCCAAAAGTGTCGATTACAATGCGGAACGAGCTTTCTGGTTTCAAATATGGCAACTTTCTCTCATCAGGGAAACATCTAATAGCTTTTTCTAAATCATCATGGGTGGTGCCCTCTCCCCATAATTCGTAAATCCCCTTTACAAGCATACCTATAAATGCAACAAACATAAAATTATAATGATTGCAAGGGTTGATAAATGACCATTCAAAATACCTGTAAAGAAAAACATAAAGAATCTCGCAAAAACACGAAGGTAAAGAAAGCATGAAGGTGAAGAAACTTGAAATTGCAACAACAAACTATATCAGAAACATGAAAAAGCATTACTATTAATAAGGATGATTTCACAATCAATCAAATGTGCTCAAATTATTAAAAAATATATGTTGAGTTAATTCTAACCAAAAAAAATATAGCAATGGATTGAAAATGGTGGGCACTGTAGAAATAAGAAATTCCTATATTTGTCATCTGAAATTAGATTAAAAGAAAAAATGAAATGGAGAGCAAATCAAACCTTCACAAAGACGGCATATGAAATTGTATTATTAAAAGTAGTAACTTGTTTATAGCTTGGATCAAAGGGCAATCAGATGCTTGACATAAATGTTGGTAGCTTAAGGTAGTGCTCAAAAATAAAAATAAAAAAACAAAAAAAAGAACAGCAAAAAATCTTTTACACACTAAAAAAACCTAGTAGGTAAAGCCATGAAAGTATCTAAGAACCATTGATCAACTTTGGTTAAGAATTTTAGGGAAGATGAGTGAGAAAGCAAAAGAAGCCGAAGACAAATGAAAAAAGAAAAAAAAATTTCAACATTGTCGTTACCATCAAAAGTTCTAGAAGAATTCACTTCGTTAAAACATTTAGGACTTTTGCAATAACATAAGAATTTACCTCGAAAGTGCATATTTCTAAGAGAAACAATTGAGTTTAAAAATTATCATTTTTTTTACATGATATAATTCCAAATGGGAAAGTGAGAGAGCAGAGCAAAATTTCAATTGCAAATCATTCCATTATGAACCTAATAATCAATATATAAAATATCCCATGAATAATTAGATGGTTATAACTTATAAACTATTAAAAAAAGCTGTTAGGCAATTTGACAATTTCTTTAGGTCAGCTTAACAGATCTATTCTTAGATTTGACAATTTCTTTAGGTCAGCTTGTTTATATGATGGGAAGCATGTCCAAGATGGGCAGATCAGAGCACATATTAAAGTAAATAAATGTAAAAATCTTAATAAGAATGGGAAAAATTAAACTTGGCTACTCTATGTCAAAATATAACAATCACAATATGAAACATGAGAATATCCATGGATGAGAATATCCCTGTAAATTGATGAAATATGTAAGATTTAAAATTAAACAGAGCTTATCATGCCAAAAACATTAAACTTGAATTAAACAATATCATTATTGTACACATAAAAATGTGTCCGCACAAATATCAAAGCAGATAGACGACTCAGGAAGAAGATGTGGATTATCGAGTGAAGCCTTTGACGATCGTTTCAGATGAGTATTGGCGAAGGAGGCACCTTATAGGAACGATCGGTAGAAAGCGCCAAGGGAAAATCTCGTAGGACGGAAATCAACCTTTAGGAAGATCGGCGTGAATCACTCTTTCAGGCTATATCAACCGAATTAAGGCTTGATAGGCTATCGACAACCCTCATCGATTGAATAGGCTCAAGGTTTTATTATATGCAAATAACTCTCTAATTACCAAAAAGCCCCCCTGAAAAGTTAATAATGAGGGAGCTAATATGTACTTTTGTAATGTTAGGAATTGGGAACTAGGTCTATAAATAGATGTTCATATTACGAATAAAGAACACATTTTTGTCTGTCTACTACTGCTCTCGCTCTTTCTCACACAGTCTCTCTCTTAATCGCTTCCTAATAGAACGTTTCATTCCTTGAGTGTGTTTCCTGGATATTTTTGGATTCATCATCCTTTAAGGTGTGGTGAGCATGAAAATATGTTGTCAATAAGAAGAGGAACCCGACAACAACAACAGAAAGAGTCTAGTCAATGAAACGAAGAAGCAACATGCACCTAAGAGCTTATGGAAGAATTCATTCAACAATATCTGCAATATTTGGGAACTCATATCACCAAACAGATGTCAGGACAGTTCGCAAAAGTCCTTAGGGGGGTCACTGCCCTAGGAGCAACCCCAGTTACAAGAGACAGCCAACACGACATAGAACACTCAACCCTCTTCAAGGGGAACGCCAGCCAATAATGGAAGGAGGGGAATCCACTTGTAGAAAAATCCCAACGATGGTCTATACCAAGACAGCGCCGGATTCTCCCCCGTGAAGGAGAAGAACCAACCAGTGTGGATCGAGGTGCATAGGCAGCCGAAGAACGCTTTCCCCCTGTATGTCTCCGGAGTTGAACCCCCGAAGAAGTTTAAGATACCAATCTTAGAGACGTATAAAGGACTGCCAAATCTCAATGACCACTTTGCGTTGTTCGAATCGTCCATATGCCTGTTGAAAATTTTTGATGCCCTCAAGTGTAAGCTCTTCTTCATGACACTGAGATCGACCGCATTAAGGTGGTTCGACAGATTGCTCGTGGGGTTAATCACCTGTTTTGCAAAGTTCAGAAGACTTTTCCTGTCGCAGTTTGCAGTGCCCTGAGGCCTACGAAAAGCGCCCGATCCCTGTGGTGGATGAAGCGGGGGCCAACGAGAGCTTACGATCGTTTATGGCACACTTACAGAGCGAAACTTTAGATGTCAAGGACTTGAAGCCTAACATGGGCCAAGCCGCGCTGATGCAAGGAGTGAGGTCGGAGAGGTTTCGTTTCGACCTCGAACTCGCAGTGCCACAAAGATTGGAAGTTGTTGGAGATGGCCAACAAATACATCGTTGCCTACGAGAATGCCCTTGAGCCTGCCGAACAAAGGCACAGAAAAAGCCAACACAAGGCAGTATAGGACAACCCAAGCAAAGTGCACGATCGTCAAACCGGCCCCGCTACGAGAGTCACCCGGACAATCGCTCCACCCAACATCAGGAATACCAAAGGCAACAAACCAAGGCCCAAAATCACCGATCATCTTAGTATAATCACTGGGTTCCCAGCAAAACCCCACCTAGGGTATCCATGGCAAAGATAGTAGGCACCATCCAGCATAAGGGGTTCTCCAGAAAAGTAACACCGATGAGGGCCGAAGCTTTTCTTCGGGATAGCAGAAAATACTGTAAGTACCACAAAGATCACAAACGCAACACAAAATAGTGCAAAAACCTGCAAAGCCTGATTGAGGAGCTGATAAAGGATAGGAAGTTGAAAGAATTTGTCACCCCTGAAGCCGCGACCGAAAGGCAAGGCAAGCCTCCCGCAGGAGGAGCGACCAGCTGGCCCATCCGCACCAACGCCATTCACAGTGTGGGGTATGTGCCCGCAATCTCGAAGAAAGCGAGTCACCTAAGAGGACAGGTTGGAAGAGACAACAAACATGGGAACTCTGCGTATCCCAAGGGTCGTCGAAGAAAGCGAGCCACCATTGCCCCGAAACCCAAGGGTCATCTACCTATCTATTTCACTGACGAGAATCTTCCCCAAAAAGAGAAGCCCATATAAAAATGTCATTGTAATAACGGTGATAATAAACAATTACTAAGTAGGGAGCATTCTCATTGATATAAGAAGTTCTGTGGATATACTATTCAAACAGGAATTCGACAAGCTGAGCCTCACTACCGATCGGATGACCGCACCAGCTAGCCCGCTGTATGGGTTCTCGGGCGAAAGGAAGGATGCATTGGGAGTGATTGGGCTCCCGATAGGTTGGGGAGAAAACAAAAAACAATTTACGCTCACAGAAGATTTTATCGTGGTGGATTCACACCTTATAACACTATATTTTGTTAACCGTTGTTGAACAATTTCAAAGCGGTAGTCTCTACATACCACATTGTTGTCAAGTTTCCTGGAGATGAAATTATCACAGTCAAAGGTTACCTGGAGCAGTCGTGGGTCTGCTACTAGCGGGATATAAGCAACGCAGAGCACGATCCCCTAGATATCCAAAATGTGAGAGAAGGTGATCTCGAGACCAGCGAAGCCACCGCGAGGTTCCGACGGTCGAAGGAGAACCAGGTAAATGTTTTCTAATAAACAAAGCTTTTAATGCAGGTCACAGGGAGTTGTTGATCCAAACCCTCCGAGAAAACCAAGATATTTCGTGTCGATGGCCGCTAAGATGTCGGGCATGCCAATCGATGTCGCATGCGACAAGTTGAACGTTGATCCATCGGCCGACCCATGAAGCAAAAGATCAAGAGTTCAGCCATGACATTGGCGGGACCCATCCAAGAGGAAGTACAAATGCTCGACGAGGCGGGATACATTCGGGAAGTACAACACTCCACCTGGTCTCCAACATAGTGATGGTCCAGAAAGTCAATGGAAAATGGAGGATGTACGCCGGCTTCACCAACCTGTATTCCACTTGTCCAAAAGTCTTATCCCCTGTTGATGATCATTGCCTTGGTGGATTCGGCGATCGGTCACTCAGTCCTGAGTTTTCTTAATGCATTTTTCGGGTACCATCAGATCAAGATGCACCCAACTGACGTGGAGAAAACAGTTTTTATTACTTGTGAGAGAGTTTTTTGTTATAATGTATTGCACTTTGGGCTTAAAAATGTCAGAGCGACTTACAAACGCCTTATGAATGTAATATTTGCAAATAAAAAAGAAGTGAGCATTGAGGTGTATATCGATTGAATGTAATATTTGCAAATCAAAAAGGAGTGAGCATTTAGGGGTATATTGATGATGTATTGGTTAAGAGTCCAGAATTTAAAAGAAATCTTTCTAACACTTAAATAGTTTAACATGAAACTAACCCCATTGAAGTGCACATTTGAGTCCACTACAAGCAAATTCCTGTGGTATTTGCTAACCCCTGAAGGCATAAAGGCCAACCCAAAAAATATCAAAGCACTCCTCGATATGCCATCCTGAAAACACCAAGGAAATTCAGAAGCTAACCGACAAGATAGCAAGTTTGAGCAGGTTCATCTCCAAGTCAGATGATAAGTGTGCCCCATTCTTTAAAGTACTTAGGAGATCTAAATACTTAGAATGAACACCGAAATGAGAAGAGGC